TTGATTAAGATAGAGGTTCTTATACTTAATTTGGCATCTCTTACTTGCATATTTTTTTTCGTGCAATGATATTTTATCTTAAAATAAAAGATTTTAGTTAAGCCACACTATATTTTATCCTAAACCCTAAAATCCACAATTAAAATATTTTTTTTTACGTACAAATAAAGAAAAGTATAGTTATAAATATTTTTTGAAAAAAAAAAACGTAAATTGTGAACTGTTGACTGGAGTCAAAATGTCAAATCAACAACCTAAAACCCAATCCGACGGCCCAAATCACACCACACAAATAAACGCGCAAACCAAAGCAAAAAATAAAACTAAAAGAAGAAAAATAAAATAATTATTTTGTTTATTCGACGGATACGCACTCTCTCTCTCTCTAAAACTCAAAATGGAACCCAATGAAAACCAACTGAGCTCCTACTTCCAACACCCCACCACCGCCACGACCGCCACCGGCTCCGCTGCCACGACCACCCCCTCTCCGACCAATGGGCTCTTTCCCAACACACACTCCACTGATGGGTCCCACATGGTGTACTCTCACTCGGTTCCCTCCTCGGCGGTGACCTCGCCACTTGAGGCCCCCAAAAGGAAGCGGGGGCGGCCCAGAAAGTATGGCACGCCGGAGCAGGCTCTTGCGGCCAAGAAGGCAGCGACGACGTCGTCTCACTCCTCGTCCTCCAAGGAGAAGAAGGACCAACACGGTGCCGTCTCGCCTTCGTATTCTGGGTCGACCAAGAAATCCCAGCAGTTTTCTTTTGGTGGGTTGCAAATAAATACCCTTTTAGATTTTTTCTGCAATTACTGAAATTCTTCGTTTTGTGCTGCTAATTTCTTCAATTTCGATATGGGTTTGGAAATTTTGGTTGCATTTTTGCGGAAATATTGAAACTTGCTGGTTCTGGACGGGTGTTCTGGAAATGCCCTATTTGTGTTTGGTTGTGAAATTTCGGATTCTTGGCGGGTTATATTGCCAATTGCTTCGATTTTATGTGGGTTTTTTTATTTACATTGTGTCTTGGTGCTTTGCCCTATTTTCTGATTTTTGTTTCCGTAATGGTTTATTGTAAATTCGTTGCATTTTAGAGGGTTTTGTTCCAATGGTTGAATTTGTAAGTGTTTTCGGTTGTTCGGTCTCCTCACACCCAAAGTCGTAACCTTTTGGTAGTGTTAGTTTAATTATTGCCAAATGGTGGCATGGTTGGCATTGTTAATTTTGAAATGGGAGTAGAATAACTTCCCCACCTGTTTAAATGATAAGCTTATGGGGAAGTAAAACGAGAAGATAAGTTAATCTGGTAACTTTTATTTACATGAACCAAAATCTTCCTAGATCACACATCCTTGGAAGTGGAAACTTTGGTTGGCTTGAGAGTAAGATATTGATAAGAAGCTCATGAGCTCCTATGTTTTTACTTTTGAAGGATAGTATACCTAGCTTTCTATTAGAGGGTGTTTAGTTTCGGAAATACCGAGTATAAAAGTGATCTCAATACTTTGAAAGTGGCTTGTTTTGTGGTTTAGCAAGCCCTTTGTTTTGTTTTTTTAAGAATTCTAGAACTTATTAAACCTGTTTTCATTAAAGAATGCTGCATATCACTTGACAAATATGAATATTTTTTCTTCCCACTTCTGAAAGTCTTTTTTGTCCTAATATATGTATAATCCTTGTTTTTCTGTGATGCCAAGTAAATTTATTTTTCTGGTTTGACAAAATGAGGTATTAGTAATCATACTTTACTCATGTGGTACTTTTTCTCTTAATTGATTGACGCAGGCAATGCAGGGCAAGGTTTTACACCACACGTTTTAAGTGTCGCTGCTGGGGAGGTATGCATGTCCTAATGAATTCTCAAAGCAATAGTGTAGTTAATTTAGGAATAACGTGACAGTTTATTTCATGTTTGGCCCTTTCAATCACATTTTTTCTTATAAATTGCAGATACTGGAATATATCTCTTTCGTTTCTGATTCCATGAATGAATTTTTTTCTTTTTACATTTGTGTTTCAATGTGTCACATGCTGATCTGGGATATAGAAAAATTCCTTGAATATATTTGTGGTTTTTGTACAACCTCACAGAAATGGTTTCCTTTACCTTTAGTGCAGATCCTATTGTATTTTTATAACATCAACAGTTGCCTCATCTTATGTTGTTTACCTTGCCTGAGTTGACTTTTTGTGCAGTTATTATGTGCTGTTTCTGTTATAGTGTTTTCTTTATGTATTATCTGCTCATACAGATTAGTGAAATGTCTAACAGGATGTGGGACAGAAAATTATGTTTTTCATGCAACAAAGTAAGCGTGAAATATGCATTCTATCTGCTTCTGGTACCATCTCAAATGCGTCTCTCCGCCAACCAGCTACTTCAGGAGGCAACATTACATATGAGGTAAATTTTGTCCTCAACCTTTTCCTAGTGTGATAATTTTATCTTAAAATATATTGTGTTTGAAGTTTTTGGTATATCATATTCAGTATTATGTTCAATATATGAGTGTGGACCTTCCATATGGTATTTGATTTATGGTGGGCAAGTATAGGAACTGTCACAGGTTAATTTATCCGTGGGCTCTCGGTTGGAGCATAAATGTACAAGTTCAGCCATTACTATTGTGTGTATATAGATATTTTTGCTCGGTTCATTCATTCAGTTAATCTGAGATACAACAAAGATGCTAGCCTGAAATCTGAAAATAACAATTATCACTTGCCTCTAATTTAGTTGGTAGATGTTTTTTGAATGATTGTTCTTCTTATTTTCTCAAATAAAAAAAAACTTTTTGACTGTACAGTTCTGAGCCATTTTGCCCCGTAAATCCTACAAAAGGAAGGGGTATCATATGATTGATGAAAAAGTACCAACCACAGCAATGTGGGTGGCTGAATTTTGATTTTAATAGTGTCCAAGTTATTCGTTCATTGTTACATTTATAGTTGGGCAATGTGTCTTTGCTCATGTATGTGTGTAGTTCGGCGGGAGAAAAGGGGGAAATGACGAGTCACTAATGCCTACAGTGGTTTCTTTTGAAAATAAAAATATTAGTTTGTAAATGTGCGTATGCTTATCTATCCAGAAATTGTGGAAGTTGGAAACAAAAAAATATATGAAAAAATGTTTTCAAACTGTGCATATTCTTGCTAAGAAAGTATTATGTCAGTCCTTAGATTAATATTATATGTCTGGCTAAGTCCTTCTTGATCATCTTCCTCATGTTTAGTTCATCAAAGTATAATGATTTCTTTCTGATGTTAGGGTCGCTTTGAGATTATTTCATTATCTGGGTCTTATGTACGTGCTGACCATGGAGGGAGGGCTGGTGGGCTCAGTGTATGCCTATCTAATACTGACGGACAAATCATTGGCGGTGGAATTGGTGGGCCCCTGAAGGCTGCAGGCCCTGTGCAGGTACTATTTGAGAGCAAGTTTACTCTTGGTTGAATAACGTTTGTAACATTGTTTTAGTGCACAACTGCGGCATAAGATACGAGCTACTTATTGTGTCTCTGCGTTGAAGCAGTAAGGGGTTTGGATGCCATCTGATCCCTTAAATTGGTTTTTTGCCATGTTATTTGGCATTGGGACATTTATGTAACTCTTTCTTCTTCTTAACCGAAGTCTCTGCTCGTTTCAGTTAGCATGTTTCATAATTGGTTCTGCTGTATTTATCGAAACACTAGTTTGTTGCACGTACAGGTTATTGTGGGCACATTTCAGATTGATGCCAAAAAGGATGCGACTGCTGGTGTAAAAGGAGATGCTTCTGCCACCAAGTTGCCATCGCCAGGGGAAATGATGAGCGGAGGCTTCCGCTCAACACTGGACTCTTCTGGAAGAACTCTTGTCAGGGGAAATGAAGATCAGCAACCTATGGGGGGTAGTCATTTCATGCTTCAAGGCATGCATGTCGCACCTTCACGGCCCACAGATTGGAGAGGTGGTCCGGATGCTAGAGCCTCAGGCGCTTATGAATTGACAGGAAGAGGAGGCCGTGCACCGAACCAATCTCCAGAGAACGGGGACTACGATCAAATTCAAGATTAGGGATTTGCTTTTGGGATTTGAAAGCGCTGTTTTTTTCGTAGATAGCTGTATAATACAGACCCGAGAACGTTATGTCACCGTACTCTGTTTGTAGTGTGCAGCATTCATTAGAAATGATGGCTCCATACCCGTGACCTCCACCCTCTGAAATATCTCGCTGCCGTCAATATTGCTCATGGTGTATGTGCGTAGGTATCGCCGGCGAGTATCTGTTCTATACTTTGCCGGATATGGTTGTCGATATTTATCCATTTGGAAACTATTCACAGTTCTGCTTCTCTTTCAAAGCTTTTGTTATGAGCTGCTTGAGCCTCGAATGGTTCTTCACCTTCTCGGTGTAAATTGTTTGAATCGCGTTCGCCTGAAAGCCTGCTAAATTTTCTTTCTAGGGTACACGTTAATGGAAACTGCAACTACACTTGTTGTGCCTAACAAGGTGCTTCTTTCAAGTGCAGTTTTTCAAAAGCCAAAAGCAGTTTGAATTATTTATGCTAAACACTGTCATAAGCACTTTTAGCGGTTGGGAAGTGCATTTAGTTATTTTAAAAGTAATTTTTTTTTTTTTAATGCTTGACAATTGTCAGTGTATGTTAAATGTTCAAATATGAAGATGTGTTTTAGTGTTTTTTTCTTTCACATATCCTCTTATTATTGATTATTGGGATAGAACGTCACAAACTCACAAATGAACATGTGTCATACAAGTTTCTTTTCTCTAACCTAACCTAATGGCTGCATATAAAACAGAGAATCATGAGCACGTGCATCACGTGTTCCTACCGACTCCATCACCAGATTGGATCCATCCAACGGTGTAAAAGCTAGGATGCACATCCTTCATACGTGCCCGCCCACATTTAACCAACACAAAAATGGAAAAAGAACAACCTTTTTTTAACGAATTAAATAAGGAAAGAAAATATTTTATTAAATAAAAGATGCACTAAATAAGTTAGAGCCTTTAAACTTTTAATTTTCGTTTCTGCAACAAGTTGGTGGCGAAAGATCGAGTCTTTGGCTTTGATTAATGGTGGGTTTTGCCTAAAAAGTTGGATTAAAGTAAAAAGTTTCCAACTTTCGGTTTCTAATTTGGACACGGGAGGCACGAGGTGTGTTGCTTTTGCTTAGATTTTTTTTTTTTTTTTTTTCCAGATTTTTTTTTGCTTCTGTTTCTTGTTTTCTCTGAGGTTTTGATTATCCGAAATCAAGCTTTTATTTGTAATTTTTGAAATGAAAGAACAGCAGAGGAGTGGATTGCAGAAAGTTTGTAGGGAAATTTAGATTGGATAGGGAGAAAAATTTGGAGTTCCTGGCAGATGAGTAGGTTAGATCTTAAGAATTTAGGAGGGGGTTATGTCAGTCCCCTCCAGCAATCCAGGTTGGTGTTTTCAGATCTTGGAATTTGGAAAATATGTTTTGAGATTCTTCATTTGGGATTAAAGTGATAGAATTTGAGTAGTATTCGTTTTTTTTTTTTTTTCGGTTTTTGAGTGAGTTTTGGTTGTTCTGGAGTTTGAAAAATCGAAACTTTGATAGAAGGAGAATGATCTGAACAAAATTGATCACTTGGGGAGGGTGCAATCTGCAATGTTAAGAGCATTAGCAATTGGATTGTTGGTTTCGTGTTTCGTTACGTTAGTGTCAGGCAGTGATCATGACTTTGCACATTGTAATTGTGATGAGGAGGGTTTTTGGAGCATTCCAAACATTATAGAGGGCCAAAGAGTGAGCGATTTCTTGATTGCAATTGCATATTTTTCAATCCCTATAGAACTCCTTTACTTTGTCAGCTGCTCGAATTTTCCGTTCAAATGGGTTCTCCTGCAGTTTATTGCATTCATTGTACTCTGTGGCTTGACACATTTGTTAAATGCTTGGACATATTATGGCCGTTACACGTTCCAACTGATGCTGTCCCTCACCATTGCCAAGTTCCTCACTGCCCTGGTCTCTTGCGCAACCGCAATAACCCTTTTAACTCTGTTCCCTATGATTCTCAAAGTAAAAGTGAGAGAATTGTTCTTGAGGCAAAATGTGATGGAATTAGACCAAGAGGTTGGGATGATGAAGATACAGAAGGAGGCGAGTTGGCATGTTCGAATGCTGACACAGGAAATTAGGAAGTCACTTGACAAGCATACCATATTGTATACAACTCTGGTTGAGCTTTCAAAGACGTTAGACTTGCATAACTGTGCAGTTTGGATGCCAAATGAGAAAAGAGGAGAGATGAACCTGACCCATGAGTTGAAAGCAAGTTCTTCGCAAAAGTATCGCCTTTCTATCCCAATTAATGACCCAGATGTGTTAGAGATAAGAGTGAGCGAGAGGGTAATGATCCTGAGACCTGATTCAACGCTGGGATCTGCAAGTAGCGGCGAGTCTGCTGAATCAGGTGCTGTAGCAGCAATCCGGATGCCAATGCTTCAGGCTTCAAATTTCAAAGGGGGTACACCACAGTTGGTTGATACTCATTATGCTATATTGGTTTTGGTTCTTCCAATTGCAAATTCTGGAGGTTGGAGCCATCATGAGCTGGAGATAGTGGAAGTTGTGGCTGACCAGGTCGCCGTGGCTCTATCCCATGCTGCAGTACTTGAAGAGTCTCAACTAATGAGGGAGAAACTGGGTGAACAAAATCGAGCGTTGCAACAAGCTAAGAAGAATGCAATGATGGCTAGCCAAGCAAGGCACTCGGTTCAGAAGGTAATGAGTCATGGAATGAGAGGGCCAATGCATACGATTTTGGGTTTGCTTTCGATGTTTCAAGAGAATTTAAGTTTCGAACAGAGCATTAATGTGGACACAATGGCAAAAACTAGTTATGTTCTCTGCACTTTGATAAATGATGTGATGGAGATGTCAGCAAAAGATAACGGAAGGTTCCTATTGGAGATGAAACCGTTTGAACTACATTCTATGATCAAGGAAGCTGCTTGCCTTGCCAAATGCTTGTGTATGTATAAAGGGTTTAGCTTTGAAATTGATGTTCAAAGCTCATTGCCTAATCAGGTGATAGGGGACGAAAAAAGGACTTTCCAAGTGCTCTTGCATATGATTGGGTACCTATTGAGCACCTATAATGGTGGGGGGACTGTCATCTTTCGGGCTATTTCTGAAAGTGGTAGTGATGGCCCTGATGATAGATTGCAAGGAATGTGGAGAACAGGTATTCCAGATGAGTACATTTGTATAAAGTTTGAATTTGAGATTAGTGAGGCAAGTTCTTATCCCGGCGGATTAGTAGCATTGACACACGATGATGGTAGGCGGCATGACAATGATGATATCAAAAGGGGCTTGAGCTTCAGCATTTGTAAGAAGATTGTTCAGGTACGTGCTGCGGATGTTTATTTATGTTATCAATATTCTTTAGTTTGCTGCGTGGTGCTATATAAATTTCTGCATTATTAGCTATGAATTCAGTTGTTGGTAGGCTTCACTTGAAATAGATTTTGTGTGTAGAAATGAGTACTCAAGACGCCATGGTCTCAGAGTCAAATATCTCCGTTGTTCATTTAACCGCGTAAAGATATTTGTTAACTTGTTCATGCCTGTTGGTTTCTTACTATTTAGTTTGGTTTCAAGAAATCGTTCACGCAGTTACATGAAAACGGCACCAGGTTCTCTCCATACCATATCTCAGGCATGCTCAAGTTTGATCGGCAAACTAATTATACTGTATTGAATTGGTAATACTGTGAGTCAAATTGTATTTTCTGCTCTGAAGTAAAAAATATTGGTCAACTTTTTATCTTTGACTCTATATGAGTGGTGGTAACAATCTTCACTTTTATGCGAATTTTAGTGTCATGGATACAAATCCACAGTATAAATTCAAGTAGGTTTTTTATCTGGACTATCTTGATATGAGAAGACAATTAAAGAATAGCATACGAGGAGTAATTTTAGCGACTTATGATTGTTTTTTAATAAATTCATGGACAGATGATGCAAGGCAATATCTGGATATCCATGAATCCGGTGGATTTTGCAGAAAGCATGACACTTGTTCTCAGGTTTCAAATCGTCTCGTCTACTGGGAGAGCCATATATCCCCTCGGAAATACATTGGAGCAACCAAATTCGAACTCCCAGTTCAGTGGCCTTCGGGTTATAGTAGCGGATGATGATAACGTAAACAGGACTGTGACCAGTAAGCTGCTCGAGAAACTTGGCTGTCAAGTTACTGCTGTGTCTTCTGGGTTTGAATGCCTGAGTGCCCTTACTGCTGCCGAAAACTCTTTTCGAATTGTTGTTTTGGATCTCCACATGCCGGAAATGGATGGGTTTGAAGTGGCAATGAGAATCAGGAAGTTCTGCAGCCGTAGTTGGCCATTGATCATAGCCCTCACGGCAACTGCGGAGGAGCATATATGGGAGAGATGTCTGCAGCTGGGAATGAACGGATTGATTCGAAAACCTGTTCTTTTGCAAGGAATGGCGGATGAACTTTGTCGAGTTCTGCAATGAGCACAAGTTGTAGAGAGAGATGGAATCCAACTTTAACATGTCAAACTTAGTTTTTACTCAGAAAATATAGTAATTAGATATTGCTAATTAACCTTCATATCACAATATGTACTGAGTAGTGAGTTTATTTGTTGTTGATGTTAAGCCAAGGCTACTCACATTGAAGTAAATTCAATGATTATTCTAACTCTACTATTCAATCCAATGATTTAATTCAAACAAAACAGTCTGCGAAACTTACCTACACATGTATGCCACTATGTGCGTGATTGATTTGGGATACATATTACAAAGCATTTAATCAATAGAAGAACAAAAAATTTAGGAGTTGGGAGCGGAGTCGAAGAACGAAAAGATAGTCGGAGCAAAAACAATGTCTAGTTAAACCAAATTTAAGGACCGATTCACAATTATATTTCAGATAAGACAAACGATACTGGGGTGAATTTGCGAATTTCTCGACATCAAATCACTCGATTTTCTTACTTCATTTGGATGCAAATGTACGATTGTTCATTTTCCAATTGGGTAGGAATTGATCAGGTTGCATCTATGGTCACTCTCTTCATGAACCCTGGAAATGATTCACTTCTCTCTTCCCCGACACTACAAGAAAATGAAAAAAAGAAAGATGGAAAAGTCTGAAATCCCATCGCATTCAGGTAAAATCGAATTGACATTCCATTTACTTGTCATCTTAACTTTTCTGTTTTTGGGACTGTAATCGCTACTGTATGTTTGAACAAACCCTAACCCTAACCCTAATGCTCTGTGCGTTTAATGGTACTCGGGTGTCCGGAGGATACGTATTGCCGAGACCATGACACTGTGTAAGTCTCTCTCTCTCTCTCAACTTCTGTTTTCTCTCGTGTGTGTAAATATATATGCACTTACATAACTCCACATGCATTTTAAACGAAAATTGATTGTTTTTTTTATAATTCTCTGGATCTCCTGTCTGCCATTCATCTTAGTACGAGAGGCTCGACATGCCCATACATCACACTGATGAGAGTAAAAACTGACCTCTTCTGGCAACCTTGCTTCCCCTATGTCCACTTGAAGTCATACGTGCCTCCAACTTTTCTTGCTTAAATTCAATGTTTGCTCATTTTTTCTTTTTTTCTCTAGGAAACTTGGGGGCAGTGAATATGTTCAAATGCCACGCCTAGAAATCTGATGCATTCACTTCGAAATGTACCCGTTCCTAATCAGGAACTTTCAAGGGGTACGAAGGGATTGACCCTTGAAGCTACAAAAAGTATAGGCCAACATCCTCTTTTTGCATGGCTGCCCAATGAAAATTCTAGGAAAGAAAACCATAACTTAACACCTAAGCAATGTCATATGTGTGGTCAAGTGAATGGAGTCGATCATACGTTGGCTCACTTCCGTATTGGTCATGTTTCAATGTCAACCTTTGGTAGGGGTACGCTTTTTCCTTACTCAAGTTTAAAACCCCGACAAGGTTTTTACGAGATCACATTTTGTACAAATATCCTCGTGATCATTAATAAAAATTTAAATCTTATCCTATCAAATATAGCCAAAAATTAACCCTTAATTTCATAAATGTCACTTTTTATTAAATAATTCAGATATTTCAAATATATCCAAAATTCCACCTAAATAGACACAAATACCCTCAAATTTAACAATCAAATAAATTAGAGACGTTTTAGCCAAAATGATTCGTGATATTGACATAACTCCTTAATCTGATCCTTAACCATTAATGATAATCAATAGTAGTGTTCTTGACTTTGTCCATCATGATCATTTTAATCTTTCTTTGAATTTGTCCATCGTGATCATTTTAGTTTTTGGTGACAAATTTGTCAATTGTTCTGTTAGTGTGATGATGTGGCGTCACATGGGTCTCACAAATACAATCATATAACGAAATGTAGATTAACTTTGAAAACTATTTTTATATTTAAAACTAAAAATGATATTAGTAAGCAAAAAGGCATTGAAGGCATGATTGAAATTCTGCTGCTTCTACTTAAAGTAACTGCAGCGGTGCTCAATGTCAATGATGAAGGGGTCGAAGGGGATACAGTTGTGGTGGTGGAGTGTAGAAGCGAATGTGAAGTTGGACCGGAGATTAAGGCAACAATAGCTAAAAAACCTTTAATTTATTTAATTGTTAAATGTAAGAGTATTTATCTCTATTTAAGTGAAATCTTGGATATATTTGATTTTTTTTAATAAAAAGTGACATTTTTGAAATTAAGAGTTAATTTTTTGCTATATTTGATAAATACTCAAAAATGATCATGTACAGTTTTATCATTAAATTATTGGCTTTCTATCTGTTATCCTAACAAAGTAGTATTTCCTGGGCAATGGCAATGAAAAACATAATTGGTTTATATATGCTTACGACGAATGCCTTGAGAATTTTTAATTGTGACAGGAACACGAGTGGTACATCACGTATTTTTATGTAAGTGATGAGAAATTTTATTTTTTAAGTTATTAACTTTTTAATACACATATCTCACAATTTGTATAATGACACGTAATGTACCACTTCGTGTGCCAATCACACTGAAAAATCTCTCATGCCTCTAACAGAATCTTTTGAACGTCGTTTCCATCCATCTCAGAATTCATGTTGCTTGTTCTACAACATGTTGGAGCTCCATTGTTGCACGTTTGAGTAGACCTGAACGTATTTTGTCACAATACAAAAAGGTATAAAAAAAAATGACAACATTTTACATTTTTTTAAAGAGTGGTGCTATTTACACATCATTTTTTTACATCCAACACACTCATCTCAAATTTTGGTTGAGGGATCGAATGAAAGGACAAAAGTCAAAAGGAGTGTGGTATGTAAAAATAGGTGTATGGATAGGACCACGTACCCTCTCTAGAACTGATAGAGGAAAGTTTGGCTGCAAGTAATTGTGTAGTTGACTTTACAAATTAATTGCTGGACAGGGATAATCAGAAGAGTAATACTAGAGAGACAAAAATTTTAAACTAACATTATTTAGTTTGCAAATTTTATTAAAAATTTAGTCTCCCTAACATTATCCTAATCAGAATTCGTCAGTTCTTTGGCAGATTAGGACTAAATAGCTCATACCATCCACGAGTATGATTCTAGCCCTCTATCAGTCCAAGTGATCCAATTCGTAGTCAAAGGGGTGTGATATTCACACACATTTTTTTTACTTCTCACACATTCTTCTAATTTTAGGCCATCAGATCGAATGAATTGAAGAAAATTAACGGACATAAATTAACAAAGGGTATGTGAGAAGTAAAAAAAAATGTGTGGATAACACATCAAAAAAGAGTGTATGGATAGCGCATCCTGTAGTCAAAATGTCAAAGTGGGGAATTGCTTTTGGAATGGGTACCAATTATGCAAACCCATATTTTTGTCTTTCGACGCTATTGCCTTTTGAATTCTCAACCCTCAAATACAATACAATTTGATTTTGATTTCTACTTTGGTATCCTTTAGAAACATGATTATTAAAAGAAAATATTATAAAATTAAAAACGGCACTAAAATAAGTAAACCAGTTTCAATATATATAAAAACTAACCAGATATAGAATAACGCACAACTCATCATAAATAAAACTTTTGATTCAACCACCCAATCGGAAACTCGTATGGATGCATAGCTCTAATTCTAATGCCTCCAATTTGGTTTCATTTTCTTAATTAATTTCTTAGATTTGGTTTCATTTTCTTAATTAATTTCTTAGTTTTACTATTGGTTTCTTCCTTATCAGCTTCACTAGATCGATAAACTAGTGACTAGACCACGGTATCTTTTCTGAATTTAGGTAATGTGAAAAGCTAGATATAGCTTTCCCTTGTTCAACTTAGCAAACTAGGTCTCATGGTATATTATAATCAAAAGCATATCGTCATTACTGCACTACTATTATGCGATATTGTGGATTTATATCGGCTTCAGAAAGCAGTTAGAAGAATAGAATATTAAGAAAAAAGGTAATCCCATGATTAAAGAAAATGTTCTGTTTGTATAATGAAAGCTTAGATTGTTGACAAATCGACTTATAATTTATAAAAGGTTTTTCAGTTAAAATAGTCTCTGAGATTTGCATAACATATCATTTTGACCTTTGAGATTGAAAATCAATAGAAATGGTCACTGAGATTGTCCACCATCCATTATTTTGATCATTCCGTTAGAAACTCCGTTAAGTGTCTCGTAGCTCTTGGCCGAAAGTTTGAGCAATTTTCAAAGTTTCATAACTCAATCATTTCTTAACCAAATTCGATCCATAATATATCAAAATGAAGATAGAAAAATGTAGAACATGATTATACCTATTTGGCTCAAAAATGGCTATCTTGGCGTTGAGTTAGCCACTTTCGAACCGTTTTCCGGCCAAACCATGACGAGTTAGCCACTGAGAAAGGTATCATTCTCTTCTTCTCAATGAGAAGTATGATTTTGGTTTTTGAATCAATTGATTTCGTTGAGTATTGAAGAAGTTATGAACGTTTAAAGTTTACCCAGTTTCGAACGAGTATTCCAGTTTTTCCGCTGACCCATCACTTTTCAGACTATTTTCCGACCATCTTTGACGATCATTGGGCTTCCAAATAAGTATACTCTTGTTCTACACTTTCCCATCTTCATTTTAATATATTATGAGTCGAATTTGATTAAGAAACGATTGAGTTACGAAGCTTGGAAAATTGCCCAAACTTCCGTCTAAGAGCTCCGAAACACTTAACTGAGTTTTTAACAGAATGACCAAAATAATGGATGGTGGACAATCTCAGAGACCATTTCTATTGATTTTCAATCTCAAGAACTAAAGTGACGTGTTATGTAAATCTCATGGATCATTTTAGATATAAAAACCTTTATAAAATGAGATCCCATAGCTGGTTTGTCTTGCTGCCATTCGAATTGGGATCAAATATAATTAAGTTAATTAGGTTCGAACTTCAAATTATTATAAAACAATCTCCAGTATAAATGCATGGAACACATCAATCACAAAACCATCTCAGTTAATTAAGTTAATTAATTAATGATATGAACCAGTGCCCTCGCTGCAGCGAATATATATGAAGCATGGTGATTAGCCAATAGCGATGAAGAGTTTTGAGAGGTCCTCATTAACAAGAGAAGACGCAGTTAGTGGCAGATTTATGATTTGAACTTTGGGATTCAATATTAAATACAAGTTCTTTTAGATAGAAATAAAGTGTGAAGAGCTAAAAAAAAAAAAAAGAAGGAACTTTAAAGAAAAATCATATTTTTACATTAAAAAATCAATCTTAGTACTATTCACTTTACCTTTTATTTTGTCCTTATCTTTAAAACTCAAAATTTTCAAATCCTTTTTCATTAGTTTTTCAAAAAAAAAAAAATTTATTTACTGAAGCATTTCGTCAAATGCTTGGTAGGCTTGTTATCATCAGCTAAACCATGTTGTGCATACACGTAATCATCATATGCCAAATGAATCTGATGAGTGATGTAGCGAGAATTTGTCGGGTAGTGTTGGTACAACTTGTCGAGATACAAACATTTAGAAGTCACAAAAAAAATTTGTACCAAACATTCAAAAGATTATCGGAAGGCCTTCATATGTATATTTTTCGGACTTCAGGTGGTCCTGGACCACCTTGGTTCCTACTTTCATCCGCTTGGACGCAGTCCACTCAAATTTTTTTTCTTTTGCAATTAAGATTTAAGGGATGTGATATTCACACACCTATTTTTACTTCTCACACACCTTTCTAATTTTCGGCTATCGGATCGATTGAAATGAAGAAGATCAACGGACATAAATTAACAAGAAGTGTGTGAGAAGTAAAAAAAGATACGTGGATAGCATACCCCAAGATTTAATAGTAGCTAGTAGCGTCATTTGTCTAATAAAATATTCGCAACATGTGTAAAAAGTAATTCATCCAAAGACAACGGGCACCCTACGGCAGCATTCGAAAACAACTATACATTTTAATTAGATTTTTAATTGTGTTTGCATCATCGCATGATCACGCATTCATCAGAGGTAGAGTTGGAAAGTGATAATATGCTCTCAAGTTTTTAAAATTTCTCATGGTAATGCATAATGATTCCTCAATATTTAAATAACCAATGAATTAATTAATTAATTGTGTTAGTAGCTTTCTACTAAATTACTAAGGATTTAATTTCGCTGCTGAAAGAATTAGCAGTTCCTCCTGCTGAGAGCCTATCACGACACGACACGTGTCACTTGGACACGTATCGTGCTGTGATAGGCTCTCAATAGGAGGGGCTGCTGATTCTTCAGCAGCCAAGTCTTGTTCAATTACTAATTGATATCAAATGTAGAAAACTTCAACTTTATTAGGTTGTCCTCGTTTCTTAATGCAGGTTTTACGGATTCCCCTTTCAAAGTATTATAGTTTAATTGGCTTGTTTAGACATTAAAAAATAATTGGGGCTTGAAAATGTTGGTAAAACTACACCAGCAAAGACAACCACTGGAGCACAAAAAGGAGGTTTTATTTGTTTGTTAGTCTTAGTCCGCAGATTATTTTAATTAATCATGCTGCTTTAAATATTAAACTCCTTGAGGTGGGCTCCATGATCCTCAATGAAAAGCTGCCTTACCATTAGAAATTTAGAACGAATGTTGTATGCAAATTACTAGGTAATAAACAAATTAGGGTTCATTAAACAATGACATGTGAATCCATGTGAAGAGGGTCCTTCATGTTTCTGTATACAACTCGATCTGTAAGATACATCCTTTGAGTGTCAAGGAAACATCCTTTTAGCGACAATTTTATATAACTAGTTTGCTGTAAATATAAAAGTTTTATTCATGTATAGCTCCTTTATATCTCTAGTACCATAATAGTTAACATGGATGGAGATGAATATTATGCGTGTGAAGCGTATAATTATGTATCTTTAAGATGTGAAGCACATGTGTCCGTTAGCAGGGGTAGATCAATTTATGAACCCAAGTGGTCTCGGGACTACTTGAAAGTTCGAAAAAAGGCCTGTGAGGATCTTCGAGGACCATTCAACGGTCTGGATAGGTGGTGGAAGAGTTGACCACCATGGTTGTGCAGATGTTATGCAGCAAAGCTTTGAAATAAGAAGAAATATCGAAGTTCAGACGAAGAGGAACACAAAGAAGACCACCAAGGCTCTGTTGTTCTTGGACCTTGGTTCCAAGGAAAAAAGAAGACTTTCCATCTCCATTTTCCACATGACCAACTCTCCATTTATTTTTTTTCTTTTTTAATTGTTGTCCAATCAGGTTTTGCCACTTAATATTTTAATTAATAAAGGGATATGCTATTACTCAATCATTTTTTTTTTTTTTTGAGTTGACCGATAGCGTTAGTAAGTTAGATTAGCCGCCAACGGGGTTCGAACCCACACCGTTATGCAAGGGCACAACACCTTTTCAGCATTGTGGTAAAAGGCCACTTGCTTATTACGCCATCAATACTTACTTTTTGTACCATATATTTGACACCGTTTCTCTTTTAAAATTCACTATAAATTCATACAATATTAGAAAAATATTTCGTAAAGTACCACGAACTTGTAATCACTTGAATTTTCATCTCATACTATCAAATTCACTAAAATACTAAAGCAAAAATTTTGATATTTTTGTATGTTAAATGTTAAATAATAAACCAATCTAAAATAATAAACCCAAATTCTCAATACATGTATAGCTTTTTTATGTGTGAATAGGCACTTAATTTTATGATATATAATAAATTTTCTTAAACTCGCCTAGTCTGCCTAGGCTATTGTCTAGGTCCCATCTAGGCGCATAAGCTTTAAGTCGCAGCTCGTCGCCAAACTAGCGCCTAGTGTACCTTGATTAGGATCGCCTGATGTTAGATTAATCCTAAATCCTTTGAAAAATATTTCGTAAAGTATCACAAACTCATAATCACTTGAATTTTCATCTCAATTCAATAAACCCAAATTCTCAACATAACTATAGTTTTTTATGTGTAGATGGCACTTATTTTTATGATATGTAATACATTTACTTAAATTTGGCTAAACTCTTATCTAGGCCCCGTCTAAGCGCATAGGCATTAGACTCTGGCCCACCGTCCTAGCGTACCTTGTTTAGGACCGCCTGATGTTAAATTCACCAATAGCCATTAGGGTTCAAACGTGAATTAACCTAATAAATACTATGAAAGAAGTTGAGATTTTGAAATGTTCCATGTCTACACATCCCTACATGATTTACATATTGGTCGAGATGGCGCCCGAATTGTTTTGGATATTTTTATTCAATTTGTTTGCAGTGATGACTTTCCCTTTGTTGATTTCGCCAAGGAATTTTCGGCACAAATATATACTGATGAATAGCTAGAGACTAGCTAGAGTGGTAAGCATGGAGATATTTCATTTAATAAAAAAACTTAAGCTAACTAATGAAAATAATAAATCTTATATAGATGCATGCATGGTAATCTGTTCATTTGCTGACCATTGTTCCATTAATTGCGTATACTCATGGCTAATTAGTAGTTTATATATATTAACCTAAGCTTCATACTTGGCTCTTCAGTTAATTAGATATATGTGCATGGAAAAGTTTTTCAAATTCTATAACATATATGTGGTTTAGTTGAACAAAAATTTTAGACAAGCACAGTAGCCAAGATCAGCAATATTGGTCCTATAAATTAAACTAGCTAACAAATTAAATTAATAAGTTAGAGAAACAACATGTGTATTGGTTTCATGGAAAAGTGGACTTAAATCTTCACCTAATAATTAAATATGAATACAGATGAACGTCACTCGTGAGACGAAAGAAAAGTGTGGATATAGCTTCCAAATTTTTTGTATTTTTATGCTTATTATTTGTTAAAATAATTTCTAGTTTAATAATACTTCATAATATTTCCGGTTAATACATTATCAAAAAGAAAGAATACAATAAATTAAACATATCCTTATAAAAAAAATAGATAAATTATATATATACCGATCCCACCACAAGATAAGTATACAATAGAATACAATAAAATGTACAAGTTTAATTGATGACCAAATTAATATACATTATAGTATAAGACTTGTTTCAAAAGATTAGTAGTTTAATTGGAAGAAATTCTCAAATTAGTAAAAAGTATATCAGAAAGATGCAAAGGGCCTATATTTATGTATAAATGTTTGTACATTTAATTTAATTTAACTCTTCCAACAATCTATGATTCATTTCTTTCATGTTTTAGTCATTAACTTACATATATAAATGCTAATGTGTAAAACATCACCTGATTTAAAAGGGAAAATTTCTACAGTACTCGATGTTTTAATAAAATTGAAAGCAAGTACTTGTTTTACTATATATACTACTTATACTAAACAGAAGAATTAGAAGAAGAAGAACGATGATATTGATATCGATATCGATGATGCATAAACAAATGATGGCTAGCAAATCATAGCTATTGAAATATGTATACACAGAATATATAATCCACTGCTCAACGCTTCTCATCTTCTATAATTCATTTCTACCAAGTACAAAGCACAACATAAATTAAGGAAGCTTAAGTACCTTAATGATTTCCAGTTTAATTCCTCCTATAAAGTTAAGTTAATATGAAAGAGTAGTAGTACTACTAGTAAGCACTCACGTCTCATTTTTATTCCGAATTAATTGTCCATAAACCCTAATTTTATTAAGTAATTAACTTTTAAAAAGGAGGCCTACCACCACCTTGACCATGAGCCCAAGATGAATAAGCTGCCTGCTGATCGTGGCTCAACTGTGTCTGCCCTCCTCCATTCGGAAGCAAATTCGGTGGAATATTATAAACCCCTGCCAACGCCGCCGGGTCTCCCATCCCACCACCGCCAATTCCTGGCGGCGACCCCACACCTCCTGCCGCAGTCCCCGAACTAGTACCCCCTCCTGCTTGCTCTTCTTCCTCCTCCAACGGCAACCTCTCATACGTCGCATTTGTAAACGTCGCTGCGATCACCATCACGGGCCCTGAAGCCACAAGGGGTCCCACCACGCTTCCTCCAACAACCTGGCCTTGCCCGCCTGCCAAGTATATGGTCATTCCAGTCGACCCAGGCGGTGCAGGGCCAGGCAAAAACGCCCCAGTCAAGGACAAAATCTCGAACCTCCCGTGAAGCGCCATGACTGCGCCGGGCGCGGACGGCTGCCTGAGCGTGACGTTGGTGACGGTGCCACTCCCACTCATGACACAGACGCCACGCTGCCTTCTCCTGGCGAACTGGGCTACGCTGCTAGCGATGTCGGCCCCGTTGGATATCTCCATGACGTGGCTGCGGAGAGCGTTAGGGCTGTCTCTAGTCACAAAGATTGGGGGTTTGGGCTTGTTTTTGGAGCCAGGCGGACGGCCTCTGGGTCGTCTCGTGGCGACTTCGATGGCTCCTTCCTTGGGGTCGTCGCTGTTGTTATCATCTTCATCCCCGCCGGATCCTCCAAGGCTGCTGGTTCCGGTGTTGTTCATGGAGATTCCCAGATCTGGTTTGATGATGTTTTTCATGGGGGAGCTTCCGGCGGCTGCTACAGCTGAGGTTTCGTTCACTACTCCTCCTCCCGGTAGACCTACATGTCCAGTCCACCACCGGTTCGCCATGATCGATTCAAAAAATGAAAAATAAAAACAAAAAAAAAGGAGGAGGGAAGGATGAAGGTATTATAGTAATATATAAATTTATAAAATAAAGGAAAAGATATAGGCACAAGTAATATAATTAAGCTGGTTGATTATATAAAGAAAGTGTCTGTGTATAAACAGGAAACCTAGATATATATAGACATATATATATATATATATATGTATATGTATGTGTGTGTGTGTAGATATATAAGAACAGCTTGAAGAGGTAGGGTAAAGAAATGGGAAAGAAAATTGAGAGGGCCCTAGCTGGCTAAGTAAGGTAACAAGAGAAGTGTAAGAGAAATCTGGTCAGGTGCGACCAAGATATATAAACGATCAAATGGGGAAGAATAAAATTAACAGTTTGGGTTTTTTTTGGGGTTAAATTAACTTGGGTAGGGTTTGGGTTTGTCAAGGTCAAGGGCAATCTAGGGAAGCTAGCCAGCTTTGTGTTCTTTCTTTCCTTCTTTTAGTCTCTCTCTCTCTCTCTCTCTCTGAGAAATTATAGATGTGATGCGAATTGGAAATAGAAATGAAATTAAATTAATGAAAAGTTGAATGGGGGAAGGTGGTGGTGCGTAGTGTCTGTCTTGGGAATTAGGGTTTTGTTTGGGTGGGGTCGAGTGCACGTGATGAGAAGGTGGGCTGCAAGTCCTCCTCTCCTCCGATTTCTTGTAGCTAAGCTTCATTTGGTGATTTAATTATGTAAGAAACTTGACTGGAAGATCGATTTTCATGACAAGTACCATCATCAATAATGCATAATTACATATAACCCAACCTCTCTATGTATCTTAATTGTCACATTAGCAAGAGCGTCAAAAAGAAATAGTTTTCACACATTTTTGTTTCTCTTCATGAATATTTCTATTTAGAAAAATACTAAGGAGACTATTTTTGGATACCATTTGATGTGATAAGTGATATGTACATACCCTGTCAATTAATAAATTCATCTCATTAGATGTTGATTGTATGCATCACTTGTCACATAAAATGATACACCATTGTGATATAAATATGTGGTTTGTCTAAACAAAGTGTGCAGATAAACAAAAAATGGTTTGTATAAATCATTTCTCGAAATTACGGACTCGCTTGGAACTACTTATTTAAAGCACTTCTGTTAAAAAACATTTCCAATAAAAATGCTTCTATTAGAAGAATACTAAAATATTTAATAAAAAGAAGCGCTTCCTAAAAAGTGTACTTCAAACTTCTCATTCTAAATATAATCAAAGCACTTTTGATGATCTAAAAGTGTTTCTAGTTACTTCAAAAACACTTACAAACAAACCCTAAATCATTTAAATATTTTATTTTCAAGTACATATTCCCTCATTTGGATCGTATATAATATCATGTATATGCTCATTCATAATTCAAAGATATAATTTGGGATTTTGTTTTTGCTAATATTTTTACTCCAAATTGATGAGTGAGCTACACTGATCTCTTATACATGAATATCATGTGAATAAGAGGAACTACGCACGTACATACACTAAATTTGGGAATGCAGTACCACTGCTTTTAGCTTAACTTGTTCCTTTCCTATGCATTCTAATTAGCATTTCCCAGTTTTCAGCATTTTATTCTAATATTATATATGAAAAACATAAAATTATGTTTATATGCTGGTAATTTAACATAAAAGCCACTATCTGATTACATATTATATTAATTACTATATGTTAAATCTCCAGCACTACTCTATCTCTCTTGGTAGAGCTGAGTCCATCAAAAAAGCGACAAGGGAAGGGAAGGGGAGGAGAACGCCCCCCGGGTGGGGGGGTGAAATAAAATTTGACTAGGAATACCCAATTCGTGAAAGCGGGGAGATAACATCTTTGTTGGTAAAAGACGTCTTAAGAAACCTGGCTATATATCTTCATGTTTCAACCTATGGCCACTCCACATCTTTGCATGGATGTTCCTTTTATTTTTCTTAAATTTTGAAACATACAATTCGTAATCTCTATTATTACATTCCAATTTTCAGCTTTAAAAAAAAAAAAAAATATTTGGGTTTAAAACTTTAGGATTGGGAACAAAAAAAAAATCGAATCGGATAAGAACTTTCAATTAAACTTGCACTATGGCCCTTACCTATTGAAAATGAATCAATTTGGAATAATGGAGAATTTTATTCTTTTTTAAAGAAGCTGCAGATTCTCATCAACAAAAGCCAAACGGCAAAGAAGAAGATTTCTCCTCTAGAAAGACTAGAATCATATCTGATATAACTAGAGAAGGATCCCCAATTCAATCACAATTCTCAACAACCTAATGAGCAATCCTGGCAAGACGATGGGCCACTCCATCAACTTGGCGGCGATTAACGTGGGAAGGTGCAACTCCAATGATCGATTTAAGCAAGGCCTTAGCATCTTCTACAACTGGACCAACCATTGTCGAATTGAGAGAACGCTCCAGCAGCACCAAAGTGATATGGAGATAATCATGAAGACAAATCTCTCTTTATCATTGTCACATCAACCTAAGTTCTTAGAATGTTTGTCAGGTGGTTAGGTGATTTGTTAGTTAGTTAATTAGTTACTCTATGCTTAAGTGAACTTGTATGGTTCAGTATATAAGGTGCTTTAACTTACAAATGTAATTAGTCAATCATCTTGTTAGAAATACAGAAATACAGAACTCTATTTTCTCTTTGAAGTTTCTCTCTAATTCTTCATCTTACTCAATTCTTCATTCTCCTTTGATTGTTTCACAATGTGGTTAACAAATCATTCTTAAAGATGAAATTTTGAAAACCCCTTCCGCCGTTGAAGCTAACCCCGCACGAACCTATTGAGAGTTGTCCCACATCGGTGAGGGACTAGATTTGCTATGTGCTTATATGATCTTGGGCTACTCCCCATATTGCCAATTGGTTTTATGGTGGAACCTCAATTTCATCATGGTATCAGAGCAGGTTGTCCTCGTGTGAAGCTAAACGGCCACACGCGCGCCACGTCACCAAGTTGTTGTCCACTTGTAGGCTTGAAAATTGGCCACACGGGGGCGTGTTGAGAGTTGTTCCACATCGATGAGGGACAAGGTTTGCTGTGTGCTTACATGATCTTGGACTACTCCTCATATTACCAATCGGTAGCTTCAGCCTGCAAAGGGGAGAAAACATTGGCCAACTTTCTAAACGAACGCAACAACAAAGACGCCCTCAGAGTCTCTGACCACTATTCCTACACCCCAAAACTTTAAGGATTCATTCCAGGCTCCATCAATAGACGACCGCTTCGAGGACGGGACCATTTGGGACCGCTTCGAGGACGGGACCATTTGGGATGAATACTAGAGTTAACTAGAAGGCAGATTATCTGCCTTCTATTTGGGTGTCTTTTTTATTTTATTTTTTTTTGTGCGGTCACGGTTAAGTTTACACTTGATTGAGTTAACTTTTGCATATATCACAATTATCTTCCATTACATTATAGTAAATTTAATATCAAGTGAAAAACCAAAAATAAAAAAGGTCATTAGTACTAGGTTTTTTATTTTACCCATTCAATTGTAATGAACGAATTTTCATCGTAGAAATGTTATAATGATCAGACTTGTTCATTTTATTAATCATTAAAATCTACTTTGAAAAAAAAAATCAATTAAATTATAAAATTGTTTTCCAAATCAATTAAATTATAAATTTTGAGTTTTAACGATAATGACAAAATAAAAGGTAAAAATGAATAATAACATAATTGACTTTTTAGTATAAAAATGTAATTTTTCGTTAAAGTTCCCTTTAAAGAACATGAAGGGTTGGATTTGGTTGCGTGTTTTCTTTTTTTAGATAAAATAACACCGGCCCAAGATGTATTCACATTTATAATGGGCTTGGATCAAAGCCCAAGTTCAGCTTACGCCCTGTTTGGACAAGCTCCGAAACAGTTCGTGATAGAGAGACAAGGCTGACGACCTGTTTGAAGGCCTTCCTCTGCCGTCTGCAAATCTTCCTCCTCCTTCTTCTGAACTTCAACTCCGGCAACCGCCGCCTGAACCACAAAAACCACCAAAACCTCGAAAGACCGCTTCTTTTAGCTGCGATTCTTCGTCTTCTTCTTCCCCTGCTCCTCCTCCTCCTCCTGCAGCTCCCCCAAAACCAATTCTCAAATCCGCCCTCAAGCGGCCGAAGCCCACCGAATCGATCCCAGAAGGTAATTTCTTTGTCTTTTTTAATATATGGCTACAAAACCCGTTACTTTACCTTTAAATTCTATATTTCCAAAAGCTGCAAATAGTGCCTGATTAGGGTTTTAGCTTTTCTTTCCTTTTCGCTGTCGAAAACCCATGGAAGGAAAATTGAACTCATTTATCCATCTGGGTTGCATTTGTTTTAGTTATTGTAATTTGCATCCCTGAATAATGTACAGAGGTTATGCTCTTTGAAAATATTAGTCTTTTGATATAATTTTGGGAATGTAGCTTCTCTTACAGGAAATGCGGTTTCTTAGTGTTCGAAATCTATCTAGAAATCGGAGTGTTGACAGTTTCGTAGTGTTCAAATTCTAGCTGGAAATCGGAGTGTTGACAATTTAATAAAGTTTGATTTTTGTTTATTTCTTCATTGATGCAACTTCTGTGAAACACCAATGTTTTGAAATAATTTTGGGAATGCAGCTTTTCGTAAAGGAAATGCGGTTTCTTAGTGTTCGAAATCTATATAGAAATCCTGTGTTGACGGTTTTGTAATGTTCGAATTCTAGCTGGAAATTGGAGTGTTGACGATTTAATAAAGTGTGATTCTTGTTTATTTCTTCATTGATGCAACTTCTGTGAATTACCAATGTTTTGAAATGAGCTAATATGTTGGAACTGGTTTTTAGAAACTGTGCCGGAAAAGAAAAAGTTGATGTTTAGAACCACGACGGATGCCTCAGAGCAACAGGTGAAAGAGGCTACGCAGAAGATAGCATCACATATAATGACTCCTGCAAAATTTAGTAAGGCTTCAAAGCTTGCCATCCAGCTGATTCAGGCGGGAAGTGTCAAGGCTGAGACCAGTGATTACTTTTTTTCGATACTGGAAGCCGCAATGGCATCTCCTGCTGCTTGTACGGATCCTTCCTTGCGAGCTGATTACCATGCACTGTTTTCAGCAGCACAAGATGCCTCTGAGGTAAGACCGTAATCTATAAGTCTACATATGGTACATGATAATGTTAATACTGGTTATATACTCAACTTAATAGCTTAAATTTTGTATTTTAGTGTCTCAGTAAAAAGCAGAAGAATCAGTTAACTACGTGGACAATCAGGGCAGTGATGGCAAATGAGTTGTTCACCGACGACAGCTTCCTGGTAAGGACTTCTCCTATGCCATAGTTTGTGATTTTGTTTTTTGAATCATATAACAAACCATATATTTCATGTAATATCAAAGGAATGAATTTCGGTGTGGAACTACTATTTGTTTTTATGATTCACTATGCCTGACTTGCCTTTTTTTCCGTCCTTTATTTTCTTCCTCTTTTTCTTGTCATGCATTTGTTATGTGACCGTTTACAAAGTTCTCAAAAGCAGCTGGACGATTAAGGGAAGCCATATCTAATCTGCCTGTTGCAACCGAGGATGTTGACAGATAGGAAGCGGCTGTGCTGGAAGATGAAACAAATTTAGCAAATGAAGATGATCTCACAAAGCAGGACGTGACTTCAGCTGCACCAGCGGAAAATAATGATGAGGAGTCTGATCCATTTGGGCTTGATGCATTTACAACTCCTGCCTCTACGAAGAAAGATGATAAAACAAAGGGAAAAAAAAAGATAACAAGATCACGAAGGAGGAGGAAGAGACCAAGAGATTCCTCAGGTCAAAAAGAGAAGCCTTGGTTCTTTGTTTAGAGATAGCTGCTCGGCGTTATAAAACCCCATGGTAGGTTCTGGAAAACTTATGCGATGTGCTTTTCTTAATATCCAACCTGTTATCACCTGAAGAGCTAGAATTTCTTATGTTATATTGTGCTTTTACTTTGCAGGTGCCAAACCGTCATAGACATATCAGCCAAGCGCGCTTTTGATAACGTAGCAAGGTTCACATGGAAACAAAGGAGGGCCATTGAGAAACTTCGGGCTTCCATACGGGAACAGCATAATCGTACAAAACAATGGAAATCGGTCACTGGGAAACTCGATGCCAATGCTTTCGAGTGGCTGCAGCAGAAGTATGCTACTGAGAAGATCAGTATTCGACATTCAGTTGGAAATAGTGGGATTGTAAAACCGAAATGTGGCTTGGATGACAACATATTATCGGTATGGATGTTGATCATTCTTTAGAAGGAAAAGCGTGTAAAATTTGTAGTTGTTGATCTAGAATACTGTAATTGTTGATCTGAATGAATTAATTACATTTAGAATTAATGTTAAATAGTCATCGTTTGCTACCAATAACATCGATTTTTCAAAAAAAAAAAAAAAAAAAAAAAAAAACTCATGAAATAGTACCACCTCATGGCCGTATGTCACACGCACAATGACATTTCTCAAGCTGAGTAGTTGTTGTGTTGTCTGAAATTATGGTCAAATCTCGTGCTACCCCATCAGTTACAAATTAGAGTGGAAAGAGATCCTTCCGGATCTTTCCCTTCAAAGTTTAGGAATCAAGTGATATGGACCTTTAAAATTTGATATAACGGCTAAAAACAGAGAAATTAGTAAGGACTTTTAAAAGCTATAATAATTTTTTTACCATTTGATCAAATTTTAAAAGCCCGGATCACTTGGTCCCTAGGCTTTGGACAGAAAGATCTGAAGAGGATCCCTTTCCAATTACAATGACCCATTTTGCTTCCTTGACCAATTTGCATTTTGCCCCCTCCTTATAAATTTCATTAAAATTTTGTAAAACATGATGACGTAGTAGAAATTTCATTACAAACTAAACATGTTAGTAGCAAAGTGAGACACATAATATCAATCACATAACAAGATGAGTCATTACATATTTCGAAGTGCAATGTGAAATTTGAGGACTGAATACAATACAAATATGTACTTAATATAGTCACTAATCATTATATAATTGTAGAAATAATAATTTATTTAAATACATGTAAATATTATAGTCACATCCTTGAAATTTGACCATAATTTCCGAGGTACAAAAACAATTAAGCCTAAAAGAACATAGAAAGGGGGCAAATGGAAGAATACCGCATAAAACAAGGACGGCCTTGCAAAATAAATCACCATTTCATCCAAAAATCCCTAAACCCTCTTCCTCCTGCGCCTCTATATAAACACCCCTAAAACCCTGGCCTCTCATCGCATCCTCTCCAGAGTTCATCTCCGATACAAATTTCATCTGCTGGTAACGTTCTCTCTCTCTCCCAAGTGTTTCTGTATTTCAAATTTGCTAGCTTTTTTTGTTCAATCTGTGATGCTATTAGATCCCAATTCCAAAGAATTTATATTTCTAAAGAAAAAAAGCAAACAATAAATCGAGGAAAAGCACATATCGAAGGCTTATGGGCGATAGATATGAACAGCCCATGCGCTCAATAATTGTGCGAAATCATAAATCTTTCTTCTTTTTTTATTATATCCTCTCGACATTGCCCGAGGATTTCGAAGAATGATGACATTGTGTTAATATTAATTTCTTTGTGCTGTTTGGTGGGGTTTGTTGATTTTATTTGTTTCTTGATTTGTTTACTGGGTTTTTGTAAAGTGTTGGAATTTTGAAAGAAGTTGCCCGATTGCGTTGTCAGATCACGAAAATTGTGTCAAAAGTATCGTCTTTGTGAATTAATTGCTGTGTTAATTGATTTGATCTGTGTGTTTGGTCTAATGTGGTTGTGATTGGTTTCGGCAGACTGGAAGTTGTAGAGAAAATGTCGAACCCGAAAGTTTTCTTTGACATATTGATCGGAAGGATGAAGGCGGGTCGAGTTGTAATGGAGTTATTTGCTGACAAAACCCCGAAAACTGCTGAAAATTTCCGCGCTCTTTGCACTGGAGATAAAGGGATTGGATTATCAGGGAAGCCACTGCACTTTAAGGGCTCCACATTTCATCGCATTATCCCGAACTTCATGTGCCAGGGTGGAGATTTTACAAGAGGCAATGGGATCGGAGGAGAGTCAATTTATGGGGCAAAATTTGAAGATGAGAACTTCAACTTGAAGCATACCAGCCCTGGAATTTTGTCGATGGCGAATGCTGGACCTAATACCAATGGTTCGCAGTTCTTCATTTGCACTGCAAGAACCCCATGGCTTGACGGAAAGCACGTTGTGTTTGGAAAAGTTGTTGATGGATACAGTGTTGTTGAGAAAATGGAGAAGGTGGGTTCGGAGAGCGGGACTACTTCTGAACCTGTTGTGATTGAAGACTGCGGCCAGGTAAAAGATGAGTGTTGATGTTTGAATAGTTGGGTGAAGTTTCAAGTAACGTCTTAGCTTAGGGTTGCTGGTAGCGTTAGTTAGTTTCAAGTTTCCAGCAAAAATTGTGTTTTGCTTGAAGAAATTTGGACGCCTACTGAGTATGTAATGCAAATGATACTTGAATCGATATATATTTTTGTTAAGTTTGGTTCCTCTACGTCGAAATTCATTCTCTAAACATGCTAAACAAGCCTCGCGGAGGCATTTTGTTCGAATGAAACCAAACTCGAAGCATTAGGTTGAATCGGGGAGTTAGGCCTCCAAAACGTGCTAAACAAGTCTCGAGGAAGCATTAGATCGACCGTAGATTGTGTGAACTGCACGTTTTCGTTTCGAACTTTTAGTGGGTTCATCACATGGCAGTTTGTTCCCAGGAGATTACTGTTCTGTTTTGTTACTGAAACCGAAAGAGTTAACCACGATACACATTGCGAAAGATAACACATCTAGTTAAGTCGAAAGTCGTTTCAAATATTCTGAACGTATAAGATAATCATACAAAAACAGTTCAAAACCTACTAAGACAAAATAACTGGGAAAATTATGACGACGAGTCTGGTTAAACAACATTACCAAAAATCGTTGTTACAGAAGAGTGATTCAGAAGGACCATCTCTTACTCTTACACTTCCTACTCCCAATCCTCTTCGCTCAATTGATCGTCTGTCTCGTGTCTTGGCGGCCTCACGATCAACACCACAGTCCCTAAACACTCCTCCACACCAGCTGCCGTCAATGCCGATCCCCTTACAACCTTAAACCCCAAACCCTCACCATCCACCGCCGCCAAATAAAACCCGTCATCAGCTTCCACCTCTCTCTTGCTCCTATCAGCCACCACCAGTATAGGCTCTTCCTGATACCACCTATTCACCTTCCCAGGCAAAACCCTCGCGTCACTAAACGACACCACCACTCCGCCCTTCCCTAAACTTACCACTGGCTCCCAACCGGGCAACACCACCCACCTCTTCCACCCCTTCTCTGCCACCATAACCCCAAGCTCCCCCTCACCCGTACACTCCCACGGCGCCTCCATAACCTCCTTATCCTTTTCCTCCGCCCTACAAACCGGCAAGATCACAACTTTAGTTGACTCTGCCACCTCCCCAAACTTCAATCTCACAACCGGAACCCGAACCCCAACTGCAACGTCCTCCTCCCCCTCTTTATCTTCACTCTCCCCCTCCAACTCTTTCAAAATTACTTTTTTGGCCTTATCAGTCTGTGCAACCTTCAATGCCTGCTCTAAAGCAGCAGTTCTAGGTTCAGATGGATTCTTGTGCTCCCTCCCCTGCCTCAAATACATAAACCCTAAACAATCACCAGCGCTGGCATAGTCAAAGCTCTCCCAACCCTTTTCGGTCCGCCGACGAGGGAAGTCTTTCATCGAACGGGCCAAATCCTGAGCGCCTTCGGCATCAAGCTTGTTCTCAATTATGAAACGGGCAGCAGCAGCTCGCTGCTGGACGCTCAGGAGCCGGATTTCGTACAACAATTCGGAGCCCCCCAAGTCGAATTCGGAAACAATTTCTGGGTCGGTGTTGGATTGAACTAAAGAGTCCCTCACCTGCGCCGCCACCACCAGGCGGTTCTGCTCGACGCTGGAAATGCCGGTGATTTCTTCGATGGTGGGGGGAGTAAAGCCTTCTTGGGTTAGGGAGGGGATTAGTGGGGCGTATTCGAACCAGAGGCCGAGGCGGTTGGCGAGGATCTCGAGGCGGCCATTGGCATCGAGGGAGCGGAATTTGGAGGGGATTGGAGATGGGGGCGGCCGGAATGGCTGGTAGACTTGTTTCTGTTGTTGTTGGGAGCTGGAGGAGGGAGTGATGGTGGCGGAAATGGGTTTTGGGGAGGAGGGTTTGGGGCGGGGGAGGGGTGATGGGTGGGGATTGAGTAAGGAGGTGGAGGATAAGAAGGTGGTAGTGGAGGTGGTGGTGTGGTTGAAAGATGGGAAGGTTTTGAGAGAGTTTACTGTTACAGAAAGCATGGTGGTGGTGGCGGCGGTGGTGGGTTTTTGGAAATTTGCAAAATTTGGAGGGAGGGAGGAGGTTTGCCCCTTATCTCATCAGTGATATACTTCTGGATGAGAGAGAGAGAGAGTTCAGTTTCAGTTTCAGTTATGCAGCTGAGGTAGTTGGTAAATTCAGTTGAAGTTTTGTTGGGCTGAGCCATTTAGTAATTAATAGTTGGTTATGTTTGCCATGGACCATCCTCATAGGCCTAACTTAACCCATGCCCACTCTAGACACAAGCTAAACCAGGTCGTCATTCAAAAACTAGGGTCCTGCCCAATTTCAAGAGAGTATTTGCTGCTTGCCATATACAAACAACAACAATTAAGTCTTATTTCACTAAGTGTCCTATGCTCGGCTGTAAGAATCTTAGAATGTGTCCTATGCTCGAAATTGCGCAAAGTCTTCCGTTAACTCTACGTACTTCATTTACTTCTTTATAATCACTTTTCAAATCTTCCTAGTTTTTTTCCTATGCTTTTGCCTTGAACCTCTATCTCATAGTCACATCTTTCAAATGGAGTATCTAAGATCTTCGATTCACGTATCCATAGCATTTTAACCAATTTTCTCTCATTTTATCTTTAATTGCAACCACTCATACTTTACCTTGCATATCCTTGTTCTTAATCCTATCATTTCTCTTGTGGTGCTTGCCATACATTTTGAATAAATCAGCCCAATTCACTAACTCTTCTCTTTTTAGTTTTTGAATTATTCACTATGATTCACTAACCCTTGCTGAGTAGTTCTTTAATCTGGACGCCCGAACCACCAAGACTAAGACCCAACATGCGAGATCTGAAGCGGGATGTTGGGCCTTGAATAAGGGGTTGGCACGCAGAGGTTTGGCAAGGTCACCGACACTCAAGAATTTCTCCTTCTTAAGGAGAGATTCTTACATATAATCGATGATATATCTTGCTCCCCTATTCACTAGCCTTTGTCGGTGAGATATTCTTACTTGTATGGGTTATATTTCTTGTTCTTTTATCTCACGATAAGCAGGATGGAAAAGAGGATATATATTAAGGGCGGAGTCACCTTAGGTGAGGGCGAGCTCCAACCCAATGCAAAATTTGGGTAAACCTAATTTTAGGTGTTATTTCTTATGAAGTTAATCCGTTTAATGAACATATAGCCAAGCCACCCAACGAAAAAATTGGCCTCATTCACATTAACAACTGCTAAAATAAAACTTGTGTCTCCGCTCATAATTAAACTTTGTTTCTCGAATGTTTCTTCTTGATGAGACTGGATATTTACCAACTAGAGCACTCAATCACTAAACTTTCACATCTCAATACTGTTATTAGGATGACTGTTATAATTGCCACGAAATCACTGACGTCGGGACATTGAATCATTTGACCGCAATTCATAGGAGAACTTGAGCTTCGGAAGACTTTTCGAGCACTTCTAGAAGTTCTAATCGAAGTTTGATTGACCAAGCTTTAAGGAGGCAGAGGCAGAGGCAGTCACGCACACAATGATAATTAGTTCAAAGTATTTAGTGAGTGATTATATAATACAATAGCTTGACCAGCTTTTGAAACGCACAACAACTGCACGAGTCTTAGTTGGTAATTTTGTATTAATTTTCTTTTATGTGGTGAAAAGATGGGGTGAAGACATCGAAAATTTTGTCTGATTTTATTATCATGGACTAGTTTGGTATTGTTGTTTTTTTAAAAAAATTGTTTATACTGTGATGTGAAAATAAATAGCTGTAAAATAAAGTTGTTGAATGTTTGATAAAAAAAATTTTGTGTGAATGTTTAACAAAAAAATAGTGTTTGAATTTTTGGTAAGCTTTTATATAAAACTACTATGAATATGTTAAATGACTAAAAATAATATGGTATTGAATGTGATATAATAATTGCCAAAAAAATAATGTACAGACAAAGATTGTTATTTGGTAAAATATGCAGAGGTATACTTATCATTTGAAATTTTCATTAAATGAGTATTGTTCACTATACTTTGAAAAGGAAAAAAAAAAATTAGGAGCATGGTAGACCCTTTTTCTGCTTTTCTATGCTTTTTGATGTCATTAACAGCAATTTAAAAAAAAAAACATTTTTATTTGTTTTACTAAGTACATTTGGTGTTCCAAATTTTTCAATAAACTACTTCTTTTAGAAACACTACAACCTCAAACCAGCCCTAAGCATGGGGATATATATGCATATATATATATATATATATATATATATATATATGTATGTATAATTCAGTCAAATAAGATTCAAATGCAAGCATTTGAGAGATTTGAGGCCATATATAAAAGGGGGTATTGATCGATTTCCCCTCAACTTGTAAGGAGCTGCCAATTTTCTTTATGAATTTTAAGTTTAGCCGACTATCTCTTTGAACTTTTATAATTGGTCAATTGCCTCTTTGAACTTTAATTTTTATCATAAACCCTAAACCATCAAATTCAAACAAAAAGTGTAAGCAGTGAACTAATGGATGTAACATCCCACATTGCCCAGGGGAGTGATCCTTAAATGTATATTCCCATCCCTACCTAGCACGAGGCCTTTTGGGAGCTCACTGGCTTCGGGTTCCATGGGAACTCCGAAGTTAAGCGAGAAGGGGGCTAAAGCAATCTCATGATGGGTGACCCACTGGGAAGTTGCTCGTGAGTTCCCAAAAACAAAACCGTGAGGGAATGGTAAGCCCAAAGCGGACAATATCGTGCTACGGTGGTGAAGCGGGCCCGGGAAGTGATCCGTCCGGGCCGGGATGTGACAATTTGGTATCAAAGCCTAACCCTGGCTGTGGTGTGCCGACGAGGACGTCGGGCCCTTAAGGGGGGTGGATTGTAACATTCCACATTGCCCAGGGGAGTGATCCTTAAATGTATATTCTCATCCCTACCTAGCACGAGACCTTTTGGGAGCTCACTGGCTTCGGGTTCCATGGGAACTCCGAAGTTAAGCGAGAAGGAGGCTAAAGCAATCCCATGATGGGTGACCCACTGGGAAGTTGCTCGTGAGTTCCCAAAAACAAAACCGTGAGGGAATGGTAAGCCCAAAGCGGACAATATCATACTACGGTAGTGGAGCGGGCCCGAGAAGTAATCCGCTCCGGGCCGGGATGTGACAATGGAAGGTAAGCCC